TAGTTTGATTTGATGATCTTTTCTTCCTTGATAATGAAGAAGACCATGGTTATCCATTGTAACAAGATCACCTGTTCGATAAAATAGTTCACCATCAACTTCAACAAGAGCTTTTGCAGTTAAATCATCACGCCCAAGATAACCAGCAAACACGCCTGCTCCACCTATAAACAACTCTCCCTTTTGATCGATAAACACAGTTTGTGAGAAGTGATCTAAGATTAGGTTTTGATAGTTTGAAAGCGGTCTGCCTATTGGACAGCTTTCAGTGTTCATTTCGTTATCGAAAAAATGAAATGTGCAATCAATTGTTGTTTCAGCAGTGCCATACATATTCAATAATCGACAAGTGTGCGTCACAGTATTTGATATTAAATTTATTAGTTTTATAGAACAAGGCTCACCTAGAGATGAAATCATATAATATCAAAAAAAAATACATTTCATACAAACATCACATACCACCACTGCAAACTAATCGCAGATGTTGTACAACATTATGATAATTTTGTTGTTGTAGAAAAGTAAAGAAATTATTAATCATCGTTGGAACAGAAGCAAAATAAGTAATATTCTTCTTTATTATAACATTGGCAAGATAGTCAAAGTCCATGATTCCTCTTGGATGTAGCATAACTAATGTAGCGCCAATTAATAAAACACCAATTATTTCTTGAAGATGAACGTCAAAAGTACTTCGAGCCATCTGGACAGTTACATCATCCTTCTTCAATGTGCTAACACTTACAAATGAGTACATGTAACTAGTAAAATTCTCATGGCAAACTTGAACCTGTTACAACGGATAGGAATAGAAACGGAAGATATAAATTCTAGTGTTAACTTACCGCTTTTGGTGTTCCGGTTGAACCACTTGTGAAAATGATATAAGCAATACCATTGGATGTGACTGTAATACTTGATAGTCGATCAACATGAACGTCGTTCATTACATCATTATTAATCAATATTGAATGAATATCAATCGTAAGACTATCATTGTTAAATTTCATTTTTGTCAACCAATGGACAAGAACAAGACGACTTTGTGTTTGTTGTACAAGAGCATGCAAACGATGTTGTGGATCTCGAGGTGATAATGGACAATAGACACCACCAGCCATTTCAATTCCCATTATACCAATCACCTAATCAAAATCAACCTCAAACTCACATTAATTGCTATTCATCTTATTCAACTTACCATTGACAAACTTCGCTCAACACATTGACACACAACCTCACCTGGAGCGATAAGATATTGATTAAGAAGAGTTGAAGAGAGTACTTGAACATAATATAGAAGTTCACAATACGTCAATGATTGTTCATCAAGTTCAACAGCTAGTTTTTGTGGATGTTTCATTACTTGATATACAAACTCATGATGAATACAAGTAAGAGGAGATGAAAATGATACTTGTGTATTATTCAATGATTGCATTAGATATTGTTCATTGGATAATATTAATGATAATTCACAGATAGGTTTGTCTATTTGACTATCAATAATAGATGCAGATACTTGATTTAAGAAGAAATAAAATCGTTGTGAAAGCTTCTCCACTGTTTCTCTATTGAACAAGTCAAGTGATGCCTTGATTGTGCATGACAGTTGATTGATGTTCATATCATGATAAATAGAAAGAGAGAAATCGGA